ATAACCATCATGACAAGTGCAGTTATATGAACCGACGTTGTTTGTGCAGAATGCATTTATACTGCAGTTAATATGTTTTTTAGTCTTACATTCGTCTACGTCAGTGCAAGACCATCCGTTGCCTCTATACCCTGCATGACAAGTGCAGATATATGCACCGACTTTGTTTGTGCAGAGTGCATTTACACTGCAGTTATGTGTTTTAGTCTTGCATTCGTCTACGTCTGTACAAGACCATCCATTGCCTTCATAACCGTCATGACAACTGCAATTATATGAACCGACGTTGTTTGTACAGAATGCATTTACACTGCAGTTATGTGTTTCAGTCTTGCATTCGTCTACGTCTGTGCAAGACCATCCATTGCCTTCATAACCATTATGACAACTGCAATTATATGAACCGACGTTGTTTGTGCAGAATGCATTTATACTGCAGTTAATATGTTTTTTAGTCTTACATTCGTCTACGTCAGTGCAAGACCATCCGTTGCCTTTATACCCTGCATGACAAGTGCAGATATATGCACCGACTTTGTTTGTGCAGAATGCGTTTATACTGCAGTTATGTGTTTTAGTCTTGCATTCGTCTACGTCTGTACAAGACCATCCATTGCCTTCATAACCATCATGACAACTGCAATTATATGAACCGACGTTGTTTGTACAGAATGCATTTATACTGCAGCTATGTGTTTCAGTCTTGCATTCGTCTACGTCTGTGCAAGACCATCCATTGCCTTCATAACCATCATGACAACTGCAATTATATGCGCCGACGTTGTTTCTGCAGTATGCATGCTGGCTACAGTTGTGTGTTTTCATCTCACATTCATTCTTGTCTATACATTGAAAGCCGTTGCCTTCAAATCCGTCTCGACATTTGCATTCATATCCACCAATGGTGTTTATACACGATGCATGTCCACTGCAATTATGCTTCCACGCTTTGCACTCATCAACGTCTTGACAGATTCGTCCATCACCATGGAAACCTGACAAACAGGAGCAGTTGTGACCACCAATTGCATTTGTGCACAATGCATGGGGACTGCAGTCATGAATTTCTCTTTCACACTCGTCTATGTCTTTACACGTAAAGCCATTACCTTGAAATCCGTCCAGGCAGATGCAGGTATAGGAGCCAGCAGTGTTATTGCACAACGAATAAGTACTACAGTTATTTTGGCTTATACTGCACTCATTAATATCTGTACATGAGCGTCCATCTCCTTCGTAACCAGGAAGACAAGTACACTTGTAGCTGCCAATGGCGTTCACACATTTTGCGTTTGAGCGGCAGGAATGCAGTTTTTTGGATAAGCACTCATTTATGTCTGCAAGAAATTCAAGTTGGAAATATAATTAGTCTAGAAAAACTGTCCGTGTTTCCGACAAAATGCCTTTCGCTTACCTATCGTCTTTTTGTAACGCGCGTGCCCGTATTTACGTAAGCACATTTTTGCTTAAGTGTTTCAATTATTTGCACTGACAATGAACTGCTAAAATATCTTGCATTTCCTCCAGTTAGAGCTTTAACACTTTCCACCCGAGTTTACCTTTGAAGTTGAGATTTAAGCTTCTGAATGTCGATTACAATTTCAATAAACAGACACTCTTCTTCCTGAGTCTGAGACCAACAAGATTTTGAAGAAAAATGCTCCAAAATCTTCGAAACCTTTTTCTAGGCAACTTTCAAAAACACAACATATAAAACATCGCGATATCCCCTAAATATAGTTGTTAAAAAATTCTCATTACAAAAATTTCAACGTGTCAGAGATAAGATACTAAGGAAGCATCTCAAAGACAGTTCCGATGTGTTGAACAAGGCGTTAGTCGTCCCGGCTACTGCCAAGTGGTAGCAAAAAGGTTTTAAATGTGGTGCTACTGCCGTGCTTCAGGTCGACCTTAACTTAATCCTCTGAATTGTGTCCTTGCCCCATGTAAGAGAATCCAAGACAGTCGTGGACTCTGGATTCCACGCCGTAGATTCCGGATTTTAGGGAACAGGATTTCGGACTTTGTCACTGGAACGTGGATTCCGGATTTCAGTTTTGCGTAGGATTCCGGATTCGAAAGCCCATTGGCTAAGATTCCGGATTCAACAAGCAAAAACTTTCTGGATTCTGGAATCGGGATTTCCTTACATGGGGCGAGTCGTCGTGCTACTGCCGTGCTTCAGGTCGAACTGAACTCGATCCCTAGCCTGAATTTGGCCCGACAGAATCTGAAGTTTAAAAATACCCTTATCTTTCTCTGACCATGGCACGAAGAACCGTTCCCTTGAAAGCCATTGTTACAGACACAGACATGACGATCCTTGTTCAATGCGTCTGTTGTACAAACAGCATTGGCATCACATAGTGGCCTCTGTCTGCAATCAAATCCAGTGGCCAATATTCGATTGTCCTCTTCAACTATGGAGAGCCAGTGAATAAAAAAAATAAGCAAGGTTAAGCCATTGACAGTTTTTGCAGTTTTATAGCAAAACATCGGAGTACATTTACACGGTGTCCCTATAATTTGAAAAGGTTTCGTGGTTATTGCATTATAACTGGGCTGGTATAAAATCTGTAAGGATTAGACAGGATAGGCAATTTAAATGGTCTGAATCAGTAAGCAGGTTACAGTTTCATTCAAAACGGCAATTCTGTTGATTGCTAAATGCACCATCTTATTTAAAAAATCAATATCCTTCGTGATGTTTGATAATTTTGTTTCTCTTTTGCAACATAAATGAAATACAGTATAACTTTGTAACCAAAAAACCTGTAAGCGAGGCTTATTGCTAGCTTCAACTACGCGACAAAGAGGCCATGTTGGTGGAACAATATTTTTGGGATAATTTGCATGAAGAAAGTTTAGGAAGGACTGCTTTTGTTCTTGTTCACGAGCATGGCCGCCGCTTTTATGACTTGTGGCTCTTCGAATATGAGGGAGCTTTGGTTTAACGAAGACGGCGATTGCAGCAAAAACTTTACCATGAAAAAGAATTCCAGCTGGTTTTAAGTACCAAATGGGGGTGAATTTCCCTGGGGTTGATTTCTTGAGGACCGAGCCCAAGAACAATAAAGATGGATTCGTAGTTGGGTGTTTCATAGTGTTTATTAATAGTGGGTTCATTAAGGATCGTATAAGGTGGTTTTACGTCGTAGTCGTGCAATCATGGCAGAGAAATGTACCAGCGTCTTTTATGTGCTGAGTTGCTGTTTTTGTTGTCGTTACCGGCGTCGTTGCAAAAGCTCCCTGATAATAAAGTTAATAGGGAAGTGCATTGGTCATTCCGAAACGGAGCCAAACGACGGAGCCCAGGCGGAAGATAAAATTTTAAATTTTCTAATATTACCCTTTAATGCTTTCCGTACCTACCTTTAAGTTCTGATGATTTTTGTCCCGGGTTATAAAATGCCAAACTATAAATAAGAAAACAAGCCAAGAAAACTGTAATCACCCCAAAAGCGAGCCAGAGTTCTTTGGGGTATGAAGCGATTCTTCTCCGTAAATTTCGCATAAACACCTTAACACTTTTCAAGTCAAACATGATATATTTCCTTCAGATATAAGACAAAGGTGAAGCCTTCACAATTCTTTTGCAGAGTCTAAATGAGCAAGCTGAGCGAAGCACATTCCTGGAACTCAGACCTGCTTTCGAATTCTCGGAGAGTCAGGGAAAAATCCCATGCCATGACGTATTCGCACAAAATACATCAGTGCTGACGCAGATCTCCAAGGAAACAGCGCGCCCTATGACCCCATGAGAAACGAAGCTGAACGAGTTTATATAGGCTTGATTTCGGCTGCTCTATCGGTCCTTCCCGAGAAGAGACGGCTGGACGCGTGAGTGGCCTATCGTGTCTGTGACACGCGTCGTTAACAAACACCGGTAATGGGAAATGTCCGTAAATACTGAACACATTTTGTGCTTTGCCTCTTCGTACGTATTTACATTGATCTTGCATTTGCGAAGTTTGGAGTGAAATTACAACAGTCGTCTCTTTCACTTTAGCTGTCAACAACCATCGTTGCAGAATGGAAAATAATTAATGATTCAGAAACGGTTGGTTGAATTTCAAAAACATACTTATCATTCGCCAGAAGCTTCTCTAAGCTAGCGCTTTTCTTTGTAAATGTTTCAGGTTGTTAAGCTTAAAACGCTCTAAACCCCGATCGCAAACACCTTTGCATCCGCCGTTTAAAATCTGCTCCAGGGATAATTATGCTGCCTGCTCGATTTGAGCAGGCAACGATCTGATTGGTGCGAATTGACAATAGCAAACTCATGCGTCCAGCCGTCTGTTCGGGGGAGGAGCGCGGGCTCATTCCCGGAACTGCGGTAGGTAATCTAACTAAGGGCCTGTTTACATGGAGGTGGGGAACCCCAGGTGGGTTAGGTAACGTGCTTAAGTGGGGTAACCCGCCTGTCCATATAATCTCTCAATTTAATTTGATCACGTTTACATGATAGGTGGAGTGATCCGCCAAGGCTGGAAGCCCGGTCTGCCAAACCGGGTAAACCTCTCAACCGGGGTCAAATTTTGCCATGTAAACGTTTCAAGGTGGGGTAACCCGCCTAGCCGGGGTCGAATTCGTGATACATCAAATTCGCGCTAAATTCACTTTGGCTGTGGCTTTGCATCATTATCAAAGGCAACAAGAGAAAGCGACAGCACTGAAGGCTGCAGCAAGAGCAGACAGTGAGTGTAGAAGAGCATTAATCGCCAAAACACGTGGTTTGTCAGCACTTTTCTTGTTTACGTGCTTAGTGACCATTCAATAATCTCGAGAAAGTGTACGCCGGGATGGCGGGGTTATAAGACTGCATTATTTCATCAAAGGTCGGCTCAGAGACGGGTTTTTGTCTTTGTTAAATTTTACATTTCTGCTACTATTAAAATGCAGAAAAGATGGTAATGATATATAAAAAGAGTAAAATTTGTTCCACAAATCTGAGACATAATTGTTACTCTAATTTCTAAAGATTTTGTGAAAACTATTTATCANGCGATGGCCGAGTGGTTAAGGCGTTGGACTCGAAATCCAATGGGGTATCCCCGCGCAGGTTCGAATCCTTCTCGCAGCGTAACTTCCTTTTTGCTGATAGCTTTAGCAAGTTTAAGTGATTAGATCTAACTTGGAATATTTAAAAAAGGCCTCAATTATTAAACTGCCTGCGTGCGTTCAGCGCAAGTTTAATTATCATTTAATCACTTATTTTCCAGAAGAATTTCCTTTATATTTTTTATTCTATTTTCTTATTTTCAGTCCATTTGTCAGTTTTGAGGTTCCAACCTAATTCGTGGAGATGTGTGGGTTCAAAGTTCCCGAAGAGCAGCTGGTCATCGATCCTAACGATGATGGGAGCTCATAAACAGCAAAGACCACCGCAACATGGGTGTGTCCCCATGGCTATACAGTGACTCAAGGTTCGTCGATCAAGAAACTGAATTATTTTTCTTCGTTTTCCTGCTATACCTCTAGGCCTTATAAACTATATATAAATTCCCACCCCCCCTACACATTAATCTTCCTTCTTTGATTTTCTAACAGTATAGCAACAAACGCGCTGTTCGATTTACTTGTTTCGTAAACTCTTTTTCAAAGTGGCTTTTCTTCCCACTATGTACATTAGGAGCGTTGCTAAGTGAGGGTAGGTTACTTTAAATCATTTAGAGTCAAATTCATCACGTATAGGTGCTGCGATGGCCGAGTGGTTAAGGCGTTGGACTTGAAATCCAATGGGGTTCCCCCGCGCAGGTTCGAATCCTGCTCGCAGCGGTAATCATTTTTACTACACTTATTTTTCTAAAAAAGTAAATGAAACATGGTAATTGATGTATATAAAAAGAATCAAATTCAGAAGATCGTCGTTGGCGCACAGCAGATAACCTCTGCGTACAAATGTTTTCCTTCGTTTCGCTCCGATGCTGCACGTATTCCCCGCGAGGAGGGGGATCGGAGTCGGAGAAGTTTTGTAACCCTTTAAGCCCCAAGATCCACATACACATTCTCCAGACTTAGCTCCATACGTTTCTTTTAAGACTATTTGAGAGAATTTGGTTTAAGATCAAAGTATTCTCCTCTGGTAATATTTTTAGTAATTCAGTTTGGGTGGAGTTGTGTTTCCGAAGACTTCTAACTTTACCTAACAGAGCTGTTTCGTATACAATTACTTATGTCGTCAGTATCTTCCTCCATATGTATACATAATTTATGAAAGGACAAAAGGCAATCTTCCTTGAGAAAAACACGTGGCTTGAATTGAAAAAGATCTTCTTGCGCCTGGATCCCCCTCTAACGCGTGCCACGCCGGGTGCTTCTGATTAGTAAGCACTGGTGCTGTGGCATTATCTGTCGTATTGAGTTTTTCGATTTCCACCTTCCAACAAATACCTTTACATCGTACATACGTCAAGCACAAGAGTTCATTATTGGAAGAATACTTGATCACGACGAGTAATTGTGAGAAATATTGGACTTGTTGTGTGGAATAGCGTAATCCATTTTCACGTCGATAACGTCTTTTGACTACTAAAACCAGAATTCATTTCCTTTGTTCGATTATACTTAAATTTGGTAATCCTGGTAAGGTGTGATAAAAAAAGGTATAATTACCAAAAGAAAGCAAAACCCTGAAGGATTCTGGTAGTAGTAGTAGTAGTAGTAGTAGTAGTAGTAGTAGTAGTAGTAGTAGTAGTAGTAGTAGTAGTAGTAGTAGTAGTAGTAGTAGTAGTAGTAGTATAGTAGTAGTAGTAAGGCAGAGTATAGCACAGCATAGCAATTAGCATAGTGTAGTGTAGTGTAGTGTAGTGTAGTGTAGTATAGTAATAGTAAAACGATGCCATCAGAGTATATTGCTTTTCACCACAATCTATCTTTTGCATTCGGATGTCTTACCTTTGCTGTGGCTATAAAAGCATTGAACACCATGGCCAACGTCATGATAACCAATCTCAGTTGGCACAACTGCTACCTCATAACTTATATTCAATATTACAAAAACGTTCAACGTAAATAATATCCATGCTTAATATACAAGAAGGGAAAAAAATAAAAATAATTTAAGGTTGCAAAGGTTTAAAATACTGTTACAGACATGAAGTTGTAATTTTCTGGTTCTGGTGATCTTGCGACAAAAAACATGAACTTGTATGTTTTTTGGCCCTGAAAATAACACGATCCTAGTTTACTTAAAAACTGAAAATATTATTTGATTATTCGACAAGCTCAAAATAAAAAGAAAGGGTATCTTAAGTCAACGTTTTACATGTATCCTACTTTCGAATCTCAGGGGTCTTGACTTCAGACTTGCGTTTCATTGGCTGCTGTTATTGCCAATACTTAACAGCATAGTTACGGTTTCTAAGTAAGGTTTGTTTTCAATTGAACGAGCTATTTTAAAAGATGGGCGAAATGCTTCGAACAGTACTATCACGGAACATAAAAAGAGACATAAAGTAGAATCTGATGTAGTTTCCGCATGTTTAATTCCTACTATCTTCCAGCGTGCTTCCAGCATTTTGTTTTCAATAATTTTCTGTTTATGTTTAATTTTAGCTCTAAATCATTTTTATAAATGTGCGTTCTTTGTCGACGTCTTATTTTTTCTCCGAATATCTAATTTTTACCCATAAAACTACTGATATTACATAGTTACCTTTTTAAGGTTCCAACCTGATACGGGGAGCCTATAGTAAGAGACGAATTCCATGAAATGCGAGATTTGTCTCCGTTTTTTAAGTCTACTACTAGGCCTGACAATTAGGCCTTGGCGGATTGTGCTAGCATAATTTTTGGCATAATTGGAGCAAAAAAGCATAATTTTTTAAACGAGCACTGCCACGGCATAATTAGCAAATTTTAGCACTTTTTGGAGCATAAATTCATAAAATTTAGCAAACATGGTGTATTTTCTACAGAAATAAATTAAATCGGCCGCAGTGAAGCAGGTTCTATTGGTGCAGCCATCCTCTGCTGCAGCTGAGCGAGCCTTCTCCTACTCTCAGCGGCATTTAGCGATTGGCAGGACAGCGCTCTGGCAGACTATCTCCAGGCCAGCGTAATGTTGCAGTACAATAAGCGCTGATATTGACTTGTGTATACTATTCTTAGCCATGTTTATTCAAACAATTATTGGTGCTGAAAGAACTCAGAACTGTCAAGACAAGTTGATTTACTTCTTGGCTTGATACTTTCAACGTTATAGTTCGCTATAGTTTGAGTTGGTTTAAATCAAGAGAGTACGATATTCTTTTGGTTCAGTCAGTATACATGTATACAAGTGTGGCCGTTAAGTCGTTGAAGGCATTTTACAACCGGTTCAGAGATTCGATCAGCTAATTTGGACAGCTGAGGGCCGAGACAAACTGCCATAAAACACAAATAAATTTACAACAACAGTTTATTTGGAAAACATCATAATTTGGTGTCGTTATTGCGCGCCTATATGTACAGAATCTACGTCACTTTGTGAACATAATTTCGGAAATCAGGAGCATAATTTGGGAATTCTGGCATAATTTTGGCATAATTTGGCAAAATTTCGAGCACTGCTAGTAGCATAACATGCCACTTTTAGGAGCACAATCCGCCAAGGCCTACTGACAATCACTCTTATATGTCCCCACCCCACCAATATGCGTATTTTGCCATAAGCGAACTTAAATCTTTGCCTTCTCATAACAGCGGACCTTTCTAATGGCAGCAATATATGTTTGCCAGGTTTACGCGACTTCATTACTCGTTTCATGCTGAACTTCAAGTGACGTACTTTTTTCAGACCCTATGGTATTACAAAACGTTGCTAAGTGAGCAAGGTTGCCTTAGATTTTTTACAGCCAAATTTTATTGGAAGGAATGTAGAAGCTGCGATGGCCGAGTGGTTAAGGCGTTGGACTTGAAATCCAATGGGGTTTCCCCGCGCAGGTTCGAATCCTGCTCGCAGCGTTATTATTTTTTTTTGCTGCCTTTTTTAGTGAACCCAATTAATTAAGTGATAAGCTGCTATCGTCACTATATATGGAAATTGAACATATTACTAGGTCCTTTGAGCAATGACCCAACCTCACTTCGTTGTCTGTTGATTCATCAGCGTTTTTTTATCCTTACACCAAAGTATGATAGCGATTCCGAGGTAGACGATTACCATCATGCTTAGTCAATTAAAGGTAAAAAAAGTAAAAGTTACTTTTCTCTCGAATAACCACTTTGCCGCCCCTTAATTTGTGCCAAAAATATATAAAATAAATCTTGACGCAGTTAAATTTACGAAAAGTCAAATGTTCTACCACAAAGTGATTGCTTCAGTTTCCTCTGAAATTTTTAGGCTGCCATAACCACGGACACCGCTGATAACATCTGATCTAAATGTGGCACACACTTGACACAGCCCTGCTCGGTAAGGTGTTATCTTGAAGGATGTTTGCACCTCCCTTCCTTCAGAAACAGTTGCACTAAAGTGAACGATAGAAACACAAATGTAAATATATCTTTTTAAAATGGTGTTCGCTACACGAATTGATTACAGAGTCGTAAATTAAAACAAAAGGATACTTCCTAAAACGCCCTATACATACGAGGAGGTTCTGCCGGAAGGGGGTACCCAGGTACCGTCGGTTGCACCAAAGCTTGGACAAGAGCCACAAAAAATCATGTTCTAATAGGATGCCAGACCTACGTAAAGCTAGGCCTGTTCACAGGCTAGAATGTAAAGCCTATACTAAAAATCAGTGAAGAGATAATTTAATACCGAAGCACCATGGGTAAGAAAATTTGGTAATCTATGCATCCAAGAAATTTTGGTACGTCCACCCGTTCATGTAAGCCGGGGTGGAATTTTGCATTTCAAGTACCCTCGCGTTCGGCGGTACATCACATAACCACCCGAACTTTTAGAGATAAAAAACAACAACAACAACAACGCCGATTCTTTCTTTCGACTTAATTTTAATGTCTTTATTTGCGTGGATAAAAAGAAAGAGCTAGAGCCAGAGCTAAAAAAACAAAGAAGACCAATTTCGTTTGAAGAATAACATGAAAATTTTATAGCGGCGGTGAGAAAATGAGAAATGCTAGAGGCCACCAAGGTAAAAATAAGCGGTAGCCAAAAAAGTGAACATGACCACATACAACATTTCCTCCATAAAACGTGTAACTCGGAAGTTTCTGGAAGTTTCACGTTGTCCTCGTGCAAAACAACGGCAAAGAAATGCACAAAAAAGTGTGCTGCAGGTGCACTAGTGGTTTTTTTTTGCTAATTAGACCTACTGTTTTTTTGGCTGTTTTCGACGCCGTCACCGCTTAGCGTCACACGATTTTATATTTTGTTTCAGTAAACTATAGATATTAACGGGAGCTTCGCCTCTAGCCTTGGCTAAATCTATACATTAAGGCTAGTTTAGTTGAAAACTGCAAGCAAAAAAAGAAATAAAGAATTGATAAAAAACTGTAAAAATACTTACGAGTTGGGGATAATTTTGCTCTTTGGATTAGCGCCCGAAGTCTCAATGTACCACTTTCCTCCTGTGATGTTTAGTGGCAAAGGATTTTCAAACGACAACTTGACTTCGATGTCGTTGTTAGTAGTAGTAGTAGTAGTAGTAGTAGTAGTAGTAGTAGTAGTAGTAGTAGTAGTAGTAGTAGTAGTAGTAGTAGTAGTAGTAGCAGTAGTAGTAGTAGTAGTAGTAGTAGTAGTAGTAGTAGTAGTAGTAGTAGTAGTAGTAGTAGTAGTAGTAGTAGTAGTAGTAGTAGTAGTAGTATAGTAGTAGTAGTAAGGCAGAGTATAGCACAGCATAGCAATTAGCATAGTGTAGTGTAGTGTAGTGTAGTGTAGTGTAGTATAGTAATAGTAAAACGATGCCATCAGAGTATATTGCTTTTCACCACAATCTATCTTTTGCATTCGGATGTCTTACCTTTGCTGTGGCTATAAAAGCATTGAACACCATGGCCAACGTCATGATAACCAATCTCAGTTGGCACAACTGCTACCTCATAACTTATATTCAATATTACAAAAACGTTCAACGTAAATAATATCCATGCTTAATATACAAGAAGGGAAAAAAATAAAAATAATTTAAGGTTGCAAAGGTTTAAAATACTGTTACAGACATGAAGTTGTAATTTTCTGGTTCTGGTGATCTTGCGACAAAAAACATGAACTTGTATGTTTTTTGGCCCTGAAAATAACACGATCCTAGTTTACTTAAAAACTGAAAATATTATTTGATTATTCGACAAGCTCAAAATAAAAAGAAAGGGTATCTTAAGTCAACGTTTTACATGTATCCTACTTTCGAATCTCAGGGGTCTTGACTTCAGACTTGCGTTTCATTGGCTGCTGTTATTGCCAATACTTAACAGCATAGTTACGGTTTCTAAGTAAGGTTTGTTTTCAATTGAACGAGCTATTTTAAAAGATGGGCGAAATGCTTCGAACAGTACTATCACGGAACATAAAAAGAGACATAAAGTAGAATCTGATGTAGTTTCCGCATGTTTAATTCCTACTATCTTCCAGCGTGCTTCCAGCATTTTGTTTTCAATAATTTTCTGTTTATGTTTAATTTTAGCTCTAAATCATTTTTATAAATGTGCGTTCTTTGTCGACGTCTTATTTTTTCTCCGAATATCTAATTTTTACCCATAAAACTACTGATATTACATAGTTACCTTTTTAAGGTTCCAACCTGATACGGGGAGCCTATAGTAAGAGACGAATTCCATGAAATGCGAGATTTGTCTCCGTTTTTTAAGTCTACTACTAGGCCTGACAATTAGGCCTTGGCGGATTGTGCTAGCATAATTTTTGGCATAATTGGAGCAAAAAAGCATAATTTTTTAAACGAGCACTGCCACGGCATAATTAGCAAATTTTAGCACTTTTTGGAGCATAAATTCATAAAATTTAGCAAACATGGTGTATTTTCTACAGAAATAAATTAAATCGGCCGCAGTGAAGCAGGTTCTATTGGTGCAGCCATCCTCTGCTGCAGCTGAGCGAGCCTTCTCCTACTCTCAGCGGCATTTAGCGATTGGCAGGACAGCGCTCTGGCAGACTATCTCCAGGCCAGCGTAATGTTGCAGTACAATAAGCGCTGATATTGACTTGTGTATACTATTCTTAGCCATGTTTATTCAAACAATTATTGGTGCTGAAAGAACTCAGAACTGTCAAGACAAGTTGATTTACTTCTTGGCTTGATACTTTCAACGTTATAGTTCGCTATAGTTTGAGTTGGTTTAAATCAAGAGAGTACGATATTCTTTTGGTTCAGTCAGTATACATGTATACAAGTGTGGCCGTTAAGTCGTTGAAGGCATTTTACAACCGGTTCAGAGATTCGATCAGCTAATTTGGACAGCTGAGGGCCGAGACAAACTGCCATAAAACACAAATAAATTTACAACAACAGTTTATTTGGAAAACATCATAATTTGGTGTCGTTATTGCGCGCCTATATGTACAGAATCTACGTCACTTTGTGAACATAATTTCGGAAATCAGGAGCATAATTTGGGAATTCTGGCATAATTTTGGCATAATTTGGCAAAATTTCGAGCACTGCTAGTAGCATAACATGCCACTTTTAGGAGCACAATCCGCCAAGGCCTACTGACAATCACTCTTATATGTCCCCACCCCACCAATATGCGTATTTTGCCATAAGCGAACTTAAATCTTTGCCTTCTCATAACAGCGGACCTTTCTAATGGCAGCAATATATGTTTGCCAGGTTTACGCGACTTCATTACTCGTTTCATGCTGAACTTCAAGTGACGTACTTTTTTCAGACCCTATGGTATTACAAAACGTTGCTAAGTGAGCAAGGTTGCCTTAGATTTTTTACAGCCAAATTTTATTGGAAGGAATGTAGAAGCTGCGATGGCCGAGTGGTTAAGGCGTTGGACTTGAAATCCAATGGGGTTTCCCCGCGCAGGTTCGAATCCTGCTCGCAGCGTTATTATTTTTTTTTGCTGCCTTTTTTAGTGAACCCAATTAATTAAGTGATAAGCTGCTATCGTCACTATATATGGAAATTGAACATATTACTAGGTCCTTTGAGCAATGACCCAACCTCACTTCGTTGTCTGTTGATTCATCAGCGTTTTTTTATCCTTACACCAAAGTATGATAGCGATTCCGAGGTAGACGATTACCATCATGCTTAGTCAATTAAAGGTAAAAAAAGTAAAAGTTACTTTTCTCTCGAATAACCACTTTGCCGCCCCTTAATTTGTGCCAAAAATATATAAAATAAATCTTGACGCAGTTAAATTTACGAAAAGTCAAATGTTCTACCACAAAGTGATTGCTTCAGTTTCCTCTGAAATTTTTAGGCTGCCATAACCACGGACACCGCTGATAACATCTGATCTAAATGTGGCACACACTTGACACAGCCCTGCTCGGTAAGGTGTTATCTTGAAGGATGTTTGCACCTCCCTTCCTTCAGAAACAGTTGCACTAAAGTGAACGATAGAAACACAAATGTAAATATATCTTTTTAAAATGGTGTTCGCTACACGAATTGATTACAGAGTCGTAAATTAAAACAAAAGGATACTTCCTAAAACGCCCTATACATACGAGGAGGTTCTGCCGGAAGGGGGTACCCAGGTACCGTCGGTTGCACCAAAGCTTGGACAAGAGCCACAAAAAATCATGTTCTAATAGGATGCCAGACCTACGTAAAGCTAGGCCTGTTCACAGGCTAGAATGTAAAGCCTATACTAAAAATCAGTGAAGAGATAATTTAATACCGAAGCACCATGGGTAAGAAAATTTGGTAATCTATGCATCCAAGAAATTTTGGTACGTCCACCCGTTCATGTAAGCCGGGGTGGAATTTTGCATTTCAAGTACCCTCGCGTTCGGCGGTACATCACATAACCACCCGAACTTTTAGAGATAAAAAACAACAACAACAACAACGCCGATTC